ACTACTCTCGCATCCGAATCCAATATAACTTCTAAATACTGTTCTTGAAAAAAATGTGCTCTTATAAATCTTTTTAACCAGAGTCTGTAAGTATTAATTAGGTAACCTTATTTCAATTTGAAAGTATTTAAAACAGTTGGAGTGATGGATAGCGGCTCGGACTGAGAAATCGGAGAGCCGAGTTCGAATTCTAGTCGAATCTATTACATTCACTTCCGTGCTAATCTTCTCCGCCCAGTATGGGTAAGTAGCAGGACAGACCGGGTTCTATAGCCTTGGATGGCACATGGTCTACCGCAGAAACAAATGGCAACCTACTGTGGGAAAAAAAAATCTGCCTCGTCATTCATTTATCGAAAGATACATGATCGCCTAAGCGTGTATCACGCATGGCATATAACTGACTGAGATACAGAAAATATTTCAAAAGTAGCTTTTTGTGTTGCTGTTGTAGGCAAAAGTCGTTGGTTATTTTAAGTTGTAGTATTATGTTACACTGAAAAAACATTGCTTCTCGAACATCTAAAAGTAAATATTGAAATAGCATATATTGTTATTTGTTGACGTTCCATATCGACTTTGGCACAGGAACCTATCCATGGATAGCAAGTAGGGTGTTATCTAATTGTCAATGGTGTGCAGGACTCACTATATGAAGTAAAAAAAAAATCTTGCAAATATTCTTGTAACGTTCTCGCCAAAAGGAAATAACGCATAAGGAACAAAAGTAAATTGTTACACGAAAATTTACGTTAGTCCGCATGAATTCTTTACATGCATTTTATAAAACAATGGAAATAAAAACAAGAAATTTGCAGACTTTAATACGTTGCTGACTTCTGAGACCTTTTAACAGCAAGTATTGAGTGTGGTACCACTAGTATATAGTCTCTATAACAATATCTTCGTAGCAGTAACATTTCTTAGGGTGCGCTTTGCCGCGGTGGGTGCACAAAAATGGTTAGCGTTTCGTTCTTGTTTCATGCCTCATATATTCCAGCATTAGGGGTTTTATTTTGAGCAATGAGCAGATTTATTTTATTTACTGCTTACTACATCCATAAAATACGAAGTCGTATCCATTTCTAAAAATGTTTCTCTTTAACTGTCATTCGTTTTATAATAAATTTTAATTTCAATAGAATTTCAATATTTTTCCGAGTTAAAGAGAAGTAGTTTAGTTTGGTAAATTATCTTTATGCAAAATTAACAACAACCAACCCCAAAATTGAACAAATAGCTTTAATTAAATTCTCAAACCAAAACAAAACTGTTAAATACGTGATATAAACAAATTTTTACTACGTTAATAAATAAATAAATAAAATAAGAAACAAAAAAATAAAATCGAGCAATATAATTTGACCCAAATAAAAAAACAAAGCGACTTCCGGTAAAAAATAACCGCCATAATAGAATACCCACAATGCACCACTAACCCGTATATATATAAATAGCCGAGAAAAAATAACAGCATATGTGGCCTGACGATTGCATATAGCATGAAACAGACTGTCGCCTCTAAGTGTTGACTTCTATGTTCACTTTTTATATATATATATATATATATATATATATATATATATATATATATATATATATATATAAAGAAAAATAAATACGGAAAAAAAACAACAAAATCCTTATATACAATTATGCTGTTTTAATGTTAATATGTCAACGTCGGACGTTTCGGTCTAATAAACCATCTTCAAACAACAGCATAATTGTATATAAGGATTTTTTTTCGTATATATTTTTCTTCATACTGTCGGATCTATATCCATATATTTTTACATACATATATATATATATATATAGAGAGAGAGAGAGAGAGAGAGAGAGAGAGAGAGAGAGAGAGAGAGAGAGAAAATAAAATTAAGAGCCAGGAAAAAAAATAAAGAAAAGCGATTTGGAAAAAGCGTGAGGAGCGACAAATAAGTTAAGAAAGAATAAAAAATGTGAGGAACGGAAAGAGTGAATAAAAGAAGAAATAATATAAAGAAGCAAATAAGGCAAGAAGAAAAAAATCCAAGATAGAAAGAAAAAAAATAGCACAGAAAAGCTGTAAAATTAAAAAAAATCACTTAACATAAATAAAACAATATAAACGCGTGTACCGGTGAAAAGAGGAAATTAAAAATTCAATTAATCCGAAATGTTAATTCCTTCGTCATTTTTAAAAGGAGAAGGCTTCATTCTCATATGTATTCGTCCGTCTCCTTTTGTCTTTGGGTGTCTACCGACGACCATAACTCTCAGTCATAATAATACTCATATTTCTGTTACGTTCATTTTCGCACAAATCCCTTGGGCTTCGCAAGAAAATATGGTCGGCATAGAGTGTCAGATTGCAAATGCTACAAAAAAAAAAAAAAAAAAAAATGCTGAATAATCTTTATAAATAATGCATTTGTTTAATTCAAGTTAAATATAATCCACTTGTTTGAGAACAAACTCTTGATTTTTTTTATATTTTCCTTTTGTCGTGAGCTTCTACAGTCCAACATGGAATGAAGAAAGCCGCTCAGGTTTATTACCAGTGCCATGTGAGCGATGGTTCAGCGTGATGGCACGATGATTAATTTTTGCATTAGTAATTCAAGTTATAAAGACGAGCTGAATGCTTTGACACTATCAATAATTCTAAAAGAAATGCGCCTATGATATATATATACTAGCAGCATGGCCTGGCGTTGCCCGTGCTTGATTAGAAAATCATACGACTCATACAGCAATCGCTATCACTTGACTTAAAATATTTTTGCCCTTCCTTGGCTTTAAAAGAGTGCCCTTTGCCGTGCTGATGTTGCTACATGCCTTACTTCTTGCCTATCTCACACAGCATTTTTTTCTAAGCTCTATACTAAACATTAAATCTGTTACGAAAAAAAAACCCAAAAAAAACAAAAAACTAAACAAAATGAACACAAAACGATCAGCTTTAAAAAAGGACTCACAACTGGAAAAACTGAATGAAGAAAGAATGTTAACAACAAATACATTTTCACACCCACCCAGTTCTGCGGAATCAGAATCAATGTTGAGTTTAAGCAAGCGAATGAGCCAATTGGAGTAAATTGCAGATTAAAATTTTTCCCACTTGTGACGAATGCAGCTATCGATTTTTTTTTGCATGCTAGCATGCTAGTTAACATTCGTGTCAATCAGCTGTTGGCTCTCACGCTGGCCAATAGAATCTTCATACCTATTCGTGGCAGCCAGCTATAGGATCGCACCCTGGCCAGTAGAAAATGGCCGCAAACTACATGAAAAGTGCCGTAGAAGCATGAAAAAATCGATTATTTCCACTATCGATGGGAGTTGGGAAATGCCAAGTCGGTGTTGGCGTTCCCGCTAACTTGGAGCATGTGCATGTAAATTTTGGTGCAAATCTGTCGAAAATTGCGGCTGTGCATTGACACACACACACACACACACACACACACACACACACACACACACACACACACACACACACACACACACACACACACACACACACAATCTGCCTTATATATATATATATATATATATATAAATGAAAGAAAGAACAGATATAGTAAAAATCCACTGTTGGTTGCATTTACTTTTAAAAAAGTGCTCAATACAAAGTAAAGCAATATATTATTATTATATTTTTTCATTATTGCTTTCATGTTTCAATGCTATGATTGTATTTCTTCAGGCGATGCTAAGTAACTGGTAATTAAATGATTTTTAAAGAAATTGAAAACAAAGTGTTACCTCTTTTCCGAAGATTAAAAGGAGAGACATTGCCAAGGACGGTATGGGGATGGTACGCAACGGGATATCATTTTAACATTTGTGGGTGACACAAAACTGGTTTCATGTCCATTCAACTGACTCCTAAGTAATTCACTGCTCCTCATAATCTCCAGTTTTAAACCCCATTGAGCATGTATAGGATCTGATGCAAACCTCGCTGCATTCCCTATAACTATACCCAGATACAACTAAGTTATACAGACATGCCTGGGTAGATCTTCCTAGACAACGAGTTCAGCATCCTGTACACGTGACGTCACGCGTCTGTTGTTATTTTAGACAAATGGAGGAACTACACGTTAAGTAGTAGTCTTTTTTTTGTGGTGTTTCATTTGCGTTTCAGGTTACTTTTATAACTTTTATGTCCTGGCAATTCGTAGTTCGTGCCCTCGGATGATATTGATCGAACTTATCTCCTCTCCTGATAGATTTCCATTTCTTGTGCCTTTTCCTGTTCGTGAGAATAGGAAAAGTAATATTTTTTTATTCGTCTCGGCAACAGCATTTAAAGTAGCAAGACCTTTTACTCTTTTATTTTGTTGTCTACTGGCGTTGGACGCGCGCGCGCACACACACATATATATATATATATATATATATATATATATAGGTACCGACCCTTCTTTTAAATATCTTCTATTAACTATAACCGTCAAGGAATATCTTAAGCCTCTCCAAACAAGAGTACTACGGTACCCCTTCTAAATTTCGTCAGATTTTGGTCGACAGTACAGAAGTTATTTGCTATTTTAATTGTTAAAAAAAATAACAAATCTTAGAAGCCCTTTACATTAAAATAAACGATAATTTTATCAATAAAATTTGTTTCAATCTCGGTGCTCAAGTGGTAAAATGATTTCAACTGTAAAGTCATTTTTTGCCAAGTGATGTTATATGCCTTTCTAACTGGGTTGTTAATAGCATAAACGCTATATTGCCTATTTTCGATTTTTAGCCTTTCTCGAAAATAATCAAGGATGGTCGATTGATTGATTTGTTTTTACGGATTATCAACCCTTATTTAAAGCCGATCAATATTTTTAGATAGAACTTTTCAGAGATAATGACTTACTGATGCAGTTTCTACTAATTAACCTATTGCTGAGGGGGGGACAGCTGGATTCATATCTTCACCAAGGGTTGGAACTGGATCTCTAGTCTTCGATTTCCAATTCCGAACCATAATCTATTACATCACCCGCACTCCAAGTTTACAGCACCTGGTATTTCCAAGCGGTCACCCATGTAGGTACTGACCAGACTCGACGCTGCTGAACTTCGGTGATCGTACATTAACCCGTGTTTCAACGTAATATGGGCGCAAGTCATATGAGGATCGCAAATAAGTATAAAGCATAATTTCTGTAACTTCTTTTACCAGTTTCCATCTGAGATTAAATAAAAAGTTAAACAATCATTTTTTGTTCTTTCTGAAAACACACACACACACACACACACACACACACACACACACACACACACACACACACACACACACACACACACACACACACACACAAAATACGTTTATTCTAAAATAAATACGCAAAAATTCACCTTCCTCTCTGCCGGGAGCTGATAGTCCAGGGAAACATCTACGACTCATGCCAAGTTGGTTGGGTTTCAATCCTGGCTTGAGGCAATCAGATGCCAAGCCACACTGATGCGCTGTGATACAGCAAAACAGTCTGTCTGTGGATAACACAGACAGAATGTACACACATATATATATATATATATATACATTATATTGGGACATCAATAATTCCGTAGTCTAATAGAAAAGTTAGTTTTTATGCAACAATTATTTATTTTTCAAAATATTTTCCCCTGTAAATGCAGTGATTTTTTTAGTCGGTGTCACACCAAGAAAGGCAGTAAAGCCACTAAGACACAAGAAAGGGTTACTGAGTGTAGAAGAATTAGGAACATAAACATTGAGCAGAAAAAAAAGAATAATCAGGAGGACAATAGATAGCGATTGGCATTGCATTTAAACTTTTTAAAGTTAAAGTTGGCTGGAAAGGATGGAGCTGGAAGGGATTTCCACAAAAGTGAAATTAAACTGTTAGCATAGAATTTATGGCGACATCTAGCTAGCTCAACTGTAAATTGATGAGATCTCGACGCCAGTCTAGTACTGCACTTAAATTCAAAAAGTCTCGGTACCATAGCGAAATCAACCGAACTTATTGATTACACATATCATAGACAACAATATGTCTACTTACAGACGGAAACTATACTGAATATTAACAACATTGGCTAAAAAAGACATCAAAACAACAAAGTTCCCATTTGTAAGCATCAAAGAGAAATGTGTAATTTGGAATAAAAAAGAAACATACATGGAATCTGATTTCTTGACAGTAATTTTCTGTGATAAACATCAAGATCCATTCGACCGAGCTGATGACTGGATGAGAGACTGGGTTATTAATGGAAATAGTCAACAAGGAAGATATAGAAGACAAGAGTGGGGCGTGGTGGGGTAATGTTTTTTGATTTTAAACTGTAAAAATTGTAGGCCCTTTCACAGTTGATGACCGTGTCAAGATAAATACAGAATATCATTTTATCTTCTTGGAGAAGACATTTTTGAGTGTTATAGTTCACAAACAAGAACGAGCTTAAGAGAATATTGATGCAAGTCATCGGCTATCCATGTTCTGCAAAGCTGACTAACGCCCGCCTTGCAAACAAAAGAAAAAGTTTCAAAGACACCAAATTAATGGAATGACTTCTAGCCTCTCCAGATATTACCCAATAGAAAACTTGTGGTCACTCATTAAGATATTTATATGTGATGATTTTAGCTTAGTTGTGGCACAAGGCCAAAAGTACAGGGTACCCATGAGGATCGAACTGAATGTTCACACGTAATTGATCTAGCAAGACATGCTTGCTAATCATTACACCAGATTAAAGTACCCAGAGATATTTAAATATGAATGGGAAAAATATTCAAGGAAAAATGACGACCAATGAATATCATAAAACATCAAGGCGCTATTTCTGTCTGACTTTCTGGGATGAAAAGTTATCATTTACACTGTTTACATTCGGACTATTTATTCGTTCTTATTTTTAGTACTGGTAGACGATATCCCAAATCAATATACACCTGATGAAGACTGGAGGGCACAACGATCGAAACGTTGTGATAACAGCAACAAAAATGAGGACAATACTCCAAATGTAAATAGTGTAAATCACACACTGGTCAACACATATTTTAGTGCAAGGATGGAAACACTCTTGTCTAATTTGTTGTCGCCGAATCCAAACATGACGTCCATTTTTCATGCTAGTTACCGTTTTCTCTGTACCAAAATGTCTCATTTTGGCAAACATTTTCATTTTATCTCATTTTTCTATCGAGTGATGTTCACGATTTTCAGATTAGAAAAATGAAAATATCAAATCATAATCAACTCAAATCAATCTTTATTAATGAAAAATAATCTGATATCTCAATGATAAATGATGTCTCTCTAAAAAAAGAAATCCATTCATTGGATTTTATCATAACCTGGCTATTTTTATAAGTAACTAACAATATGTATAGGTATCTTAGTGAACATCAATATTCAAACTATTAAAAGCTATTCATAATCAAACTATTCATATTCATCCGGGTGTTTTGTTTTGCACAAACCGCATAATTACAAACATAGGTTTGGTGTTTTATATGAGTTTATTTAATTAAGTTGATATGTAATGTATAGTGTTAAGTATAATTTGAGGAAAAAAATAAAGTCTTTTTACTTCGTATTTGAATACAATGTTATTATAATACTTTTATTTTTAGACCTTATAATATCAAGGCAATGACTTGAAGCGGAGTATGCAAAAACAATCCCGATTTCCTTTATGGCGAGTTTAAAACAAGGAATAATAGAAAACCCTTCAATGATTTTGCCAGAAAAGCTTATATTTATACTGAAGTGAAGCTGGGTGATCAGAATGAGTCATGGGAAACACATATTGTTTGCAAAACATGTCAGGAGCACTTACGCGAGTGGATGAGGAGTACTCGAACTTCACTTAAGTTTGGTATTCCGATGATTTGGCGCGAACCACAAAATCACATCGATGACTGTTACTTCTCCTTAATTGACATTGCTGGCCTCAACAAGAAACAGAAATCTGTGAACTATCCTTCTCTCAATTCAGCTGTCAGACCTGTACCGCACTCCGATGAAATTCCGATTCTAGTCTTCATATGTTTTACGTCAAGTGACATTGAAGAATCCGACTATGACGTTGTGAATGATATCGTCGACACGAGCAAGAATGACAATTATCTAAACTGATACTGTTTGATCAAGAAGAGCTAAACAACTTAACCAGGGATTTAAGTTTATCAAAAGAATAGGTTGAACTCTTAGCTTGAAGATTGAAGGAGAAAAATCTCTTTAAGGAATGAACAAAGTTACATTTTATCATACAAGAGATAGTGAAGTTGTCTCCTATTTCAATCAAACCAACGAACTTTTATATTGTAACGATGTCGAAGGAGTTTTGCTGTATCCTGGTATTCAGAATTATCATGCAAATACACGGAAACTATTCATTGATAACTTAAAGCATAGTTTAAAATGTGTTTTGCAGCACAACACCAATTTATACGATACCAATTCGACACTCCCCAACGCTGAAAGAAAGGCATGAATTCATCTGTTTTCCTTTGGTTTTTCAACATATTTGTTGTGTATGTTGATTTGGAAAAGTAGCAATTCCTTCAGGAAAGATTAAGAAAAAACCGGGGCGTAGATTTTAGAGATGTATAATACAAACGTCTATCTCATATTTCAACCCAAGAAACTTTTTCTTTTTCGAGTATACTAAATGACGTATTCTAAGGTCTAAATGCCTAGACATTTCAGTTAACCTGTCATTGATCGTCTTTAAACTTAAAAAATCCTTTCGAAGATGATATATGACGTAATCTAGGATCTAACACTTAAATCTTTTCAGTTAACTTGCTGAATATTTATGAGCGTTCTTAAATTTTCAAATTTTGAGTAACTAACCAATATATACTTGTTGCAAAATAAAATCATCACATTTCCCCGGATAAAGTCAGTCGAATGACGAAACGCGTCGGCAAATCTAAGCATAGTTTTCCTCTTGTATTTTCATTCATTTTGTCTCTCCTACAGATATGCACCATCTGAGAATATTTGCTCACACACACACACACACACACACACACACACACACACACACACACACACACTATATATATATATATATATATATATATATAAAGAGAGAGAGAGAGAAAGATAGATAGATATATAGAGAGATTTTATTACTTTTAAATCTATTAACCGTTTTTTTCTAAAATATATATCACTTTTCGCAAATGTGGTTTTTGTAAATGAAAAAAAATATCCAAAATTTATGTTAGCATCAACTCACAACAGCGACATTTGCGAAAAGTGACCCGCATTTTAGAAAAAATCGATTAATTAATTTAATATACATAAGATGTCTATTCTTTTTAATAAGACTTGTTTGGAAGAAAAATTGCTGACATGATGGGTATATATATATATATATATATATATATATATATATATATATATATATATTATACACAGGGTCGCCCAAAAGACAAGTTTCAATGGGCAAAGAGCGAGCTCTTGTGTAACAGCAACCGGAGGAAAGTTGCGTGACGCCATCTATCGTAATTAGACCCATAAAATTTCCAAATGATATTTTATCGAATACAGGAACATTATTTAATTTGGAAATTTTTATATACTAGGTCGATCATTTTCGATTGGTTCGATAGAAACTGGATTTTAGTGACATTCAGATCTCAGCTGGAAGCACCAAGCATCAGCTGGAGTTCAGCTCAAACTAAACCCTGTTTATCACCTCGACTGACAGTCTGAACTCAACCGAGATTAGCTACAGGGACCAAGTCAATGACCTATAGAGATAAGGCTGAGAAGTATGAAGCACTTAAAGTGGATGATGCACTAAGATAAAAAATCAACAGCAAGCAACTCTACTAGCACAGTGCGAAGTACGTTTTACCAAACACAATGCGTTAAAACTTTACGATCATTGTAAAATGCATTGATGATACTATATATATATATATATATATATATATATATATATATATATATATATATATATATATATATATATATATATATATATATATGTGTGTGTGTGTGTGTGTCTTATTCTGTTTACTGCGTTTTTCGATGACTGACAAAATAAGTAGCCTGGAGACCAATAAGGGTACCTTAGTTTAGTGTAGTGGATAGCGTGCTAGTCAGATTAAGCATTAGTAGTACGTTC